TTTCCACTCCAGTTCCCCTATTCTTTCCTCTGTCTTGTCCTCCTTCTTCTCTGTACTCCTCATCCTTCCCTCTTCCTTCTTTTTTTCCCCTGCTTTCTTTTCCAGCTTCTCTATTCTTTCCCTTAGCTCTCTACTCTCCTTCCTCCATATTTTTTCTTTCTCCTCCCACTGTTTCCTCATGCCTTCTACTTCTTCTCTTATCTCCCTTCCCTGCTTCTTTATCTCCTCTTTCAATTCCTCCTTTATCTCCTTATTCACCTCCCTTATCATTTCCCTCATTTCTCTCATCCACCCCTCTCTTTCCTCTTTCCACTCGCTCGTACCTAATCTCCCTTCCCCCCCTCCCTTTCCCTTGTATCCCCTTAGCTTCTCTCCCTTTTTTGTACTTGTGTCCTTCTTCCTCCATCTCACTCTCTGCCTCCTCCTCTATCTCTCTTTTCCTCTTCACCCACTCCTCCAAGCTTCCTGTACTCCCTATGCTCCCTATCCTTACTCTCCTTCCCTCCATAACTTTTCCTTCTCCCCCTGTCACTCTATCTTTTCCATTCTCTTCCATCCTTCTTTATCAACCCCTTTACCTTGCCCTAACCCCCTCTATCCGTTATCACTTTCCTACTTATCGACTCTCCTGCTCTCCTACTTCTCTGCTCTTTCCCTAGGTGTCTCTCTTTCTAATCTCCTTATCTTTCTGTTTTCTCGAATCTTCTGACCTAACCTCTTTCTGTCCTCTTTTCTTTCTTGCTTTGTATCCCTCTTTTCCCACCTCTTCCAGCCCCGCCCTCACTTCTCCACGTACTCCCCCCAATTCCTCTCCCTTTCTCACCCTCACACTCCCTTCCCACCCTTCTCAAACACTCTCTCGTTTTCTTTTCTCCACACACCTAAATCTCACATTCACTCTCACTTACGCCGGAAACGGAAGTCTTGTTCACCGAGTATATCAACTGCTTTCAGCGTTATACTGATTTCCCAAAATCTCTTTCATCAAGGTTGCGGACAGCGGGATATTTCTCTCAACAGCAATTACATCGTGGTATTAAAAAATCCTCGCGAACGCGCGCAAATTCGCCACTTGGCGCGTCAAGTTTATCCGGATGATCCGAAGTTTCTGGAAGAGGCGTACCACGACGCTACTTCGCGATCGCACGGATATTTGCTACTCGATTTGAAACAGTCCACTCCAGACGAATATCGATTTCGAGCGTGCATCTTCCCCACGGATAACGCTCATTATGTTTACGTCCCGTAGATCTTCAGGAAATCACGTATAAAACTCTGCACGCTCACCCGAATCGCGACAGTCGCGTCTTCGCGATGACATCGAAACGCGGGAGTAGCGATAGAGTGACGAATATCGCGTGTCGCTCCATCGGCCGGAAAAACGTCTGCCTTCTGAAAGCACTGTGCTATTTAACGAAAAAAGAGCAGACCTCCTTCTTACGCAGCGCAGGTAACAATTTCATCGCCTGTATCTGTGAATGCGCTTTCAACACACTCAGAGGTAACGTACCGCTCGACCAGCGGGAAAAAAATCGTTTGTCCAGGTACAAAACCGCGCTGCGGAATATCGCTAGTAAACGCACTAATTTGAAAGCCAAAAGGAAAATTATCGTGCAAAGAGGGGGATTCTTGCCTTACCTGATCGGACCCATACTCGGTGCTATTCTATCGAGCGTTATCGGCAGATCGCAAAATTAATTAAATCGAACGCTCGCGCGGATGAATCATGGAAAGAGCGAGAAAGATGGTTTTGTTTTCTGCGGAAAATCTTGCGAGAATGCAGCAGCAGCAGCAGCTACAGCAACAACAACAACAATCCGTCGTGTTTTCCGCCGTTTAGGCGAATAACAACGCGGGATCCGGTGAAAATACCGTATGCACCCCGGGAACCGTTTTGTCGCGACTCGACGCCGAGATGAGACGAATTCTCGACTCAATGATGCCGGATCGCGAGAAATGGAAATTGTACAGAGAGGCGCTTCAACGTTACCTGCATTTTTTCCAAGAAGAAAGAAATCAACAAACGCGCGAAAACGCGGGCGTTAGCAATGACGACGACGTTGCCGAAAACAATCGTCTCGAAGACGACGGAAACGTCAACGTCCTCGATGACGAACCGGAGCTCGATCGTCGTCATCGTGAGAGAGAGACGAGGGAAGCGGAGGAGGAGGACGCACCGACGGAGGCGCGTATCGATGAAGATAACGCGGGCGCATTGAGCCGCCCCGTCGGCGAAGCCCTCCGTCGTGGACGTCGCGGCGAGCAGAAAAGCATCAGAGAAATATTGGATAAAATCCCGAAAAGTTATCGCGGTAAAGCGCGTAAGCTATTGCGACATTTATGCGATGTGGCGGTACCCGTTAGAATAAGCTGGGACAGACAAGGGGTCGTGAGTATAGACGGGAACGTTTTAAGGGGAACAAACATCGCCGAACTCGTGAACGATGCGGTACGCGAGAGAAAAACCTTAAAAGCGACGGGGAGAGGCCGATTCGTTCGACTATTGCGCGATATAGCTACTCCTCCCGAATTCGTGGGAAATCGCGAATTACGAGAGAAGAGCATTCGCCAGATTTTCACCGAAGAATCGCCTTTGCGCGATAGCATTTCTATTCCCGATGATTTAGCGGCACGTAGTAGCACCCCTATTCCAAGAGCGAGAGCGCGAGCGGATAAACGCGCGTTCGACGAAGCATCGCTCGAAGATAAACGCGACGATGAGGAATACTCGGCGTTTATAACCGACGACGGTAACAAGAACAAAACCCGCGTGAGTGACCGCGATTCCAAACTCGCGAGGAAGAGGCGATTGTTAAATTGGAATCTCCGAGAACCTTTGGACAGTAACGCGTATATCCTCGAAGGTCCGTCGTCGTCGTCGTCGGCGCGTAAAAACGTAACTTTTCCCGGGACAAGGGTGGCGGCCGGTAAACGCGGATCCGGTGAGACATCGTTCGAAGAGGAACGGGACAACGAGGTGTTTATATCCAGCAACAACAAGAAGAATAAAACGCGCGTGAGTGACAGAGATTCTAAATTCGCAAGGAAGAGACGATTGTTGGATTGGAACCTTTTGGAATGACGAGGCTGGAAAAATTATACTATAATCCAGCGCACTATGCGGGGTACTCAGCCGTGGAAAATCTTTCGCGCGCCGCCGAGACGGATTTCAATCGAAACAAAATTATTAGTTGGCTCGAGTCACAAGACGCGTACACACTGCACAGACCGATACGACGCAAATTTCCCCGCTTACATTACACCGTGACGAATATTGATGACGTGTGGGAGGCTGATTTGATCGAGCTTTGTAATCTCAAGAACTACAACGATGACTACTGCTACTTGCTCACGATTATCGATGTGCTCAGCAAATACGTCTGGGTGGAAGCGATACGTGACAAAACAGGTGTTAGCGTGACGGCGGCATTCCGACACGTGCTCTCGAGGAGCGAGGGACTGCTGCCTGTGTATCTACAGACAGACAAAGGAAAAGAATTCCTCGCGCGTCCCTTTCAAAACTTTTTGAAAGAAAAGGGCATACGTTTTCGCGTAACTCGAAATCCTGATGTCAAAGCCGCTGTAATCAAGCGCTTTAATAGAACGCTCAAGGAACGAATATGGCGCTATTTTACTCATCGGAATACGCATCGTTACATCGATATTTTGCAGGATATCGTGCGCGCCTACAATCACACCCGTCATTCCGCTACTTTGATGCAGCCGGCGAGTGTTATGCTGGAAAATGCTCGCATCGCACGCGAAAATACGAAACGACAATACGAGCGCAAGAGGGGAGTTCGTAAACGAAAGGCTAAATACGCGGTGGGCGATCTGGTGCGAGTCAGTAGGGCGAAAGGCACCTTCAAGAAAGGATACGAGGCGAATTGGAGCGAGGAAATATTTCAAATTCATCGCGTTCTCGCGTGGCGAGAGCCGAGGGTATACGAATTGAGCGATCTATCGGGTGAAGTTATAAATGGAATATTCTACGAACAGGAACTAACGGGGGTGAGCAAAAATTTGCGAGAAGAGGAGTTTATCGTCAACAAGGTGATAAAAAGCAGGGGACGCGGCACCGGTAAGGAATTGCTAGTTACCTGGCGAGGATACTCCTCTAAATTTAATTCGTAGATATCCGCTTCGAATCTGAAATCGCTCGGG